TAACAAGTGCCTTACTAGTAGTAACAAGAAGCTAGCAGTAACTCTTAAAGATAGATCGCTTCTCTGTCACCCGAACTACAACTAGGAAGCTACTAGTCAAAGGAAGTTTAGGAGGAACTTCCGTGTTACGGACATTCAACAGCTGTTCAACCACCACTCATCATACACCACTCATCAGATTTCTTGGCAGGTGCAGCAATTTGTGAACCTCCATGTGCAGATTTCGTGGCAGGTGCAATACAAAATGCGTTTTCGAGAGATAGCGGACGCGCGAAATGCTGTATTTTTCAATAGAACCGGTGGCTTCGAACCTGGCAAGTCTAGCTCTGCGGAACGACTGTTGCGAGACGGTCTCGGGTCATGCTTGGTCGGCCGTCCATTGTGATTAGGTTTTCACTTGTCTCTTGAAGTGCAGATTTCGTGGCAGGCGCAGCGCTTTGTGAACCTCCATGTGCAGATTTCGTGGCAGGCACAGCACTTTGTGAACCTCCATGCGCAGATTTCGTGGCAGGCACAGCACTTTGCGAACCTCCAGGTGCAGATTTCGTGGCAGACACAGCACTTTGTGAACCTCCAGGTGCAGATTTCGTGTCAGGCACAGCACTCTGTGAACCTCCAGGTGCAGATTTCGTGGCAGGCACAGCACTTTGTGAACCTCCAGGTGCAGATTTCATGTCAGGCGCAGCACTTTGTGAACCTCCATGCGCAAATTTCGTGGCAGGCACAGTACTTTGTGAACCTCCATGTGCAGAGTTCGTGGCAAGCACAGCACTTTGTGAACCTCCATGTGCAGATTTCGTGGCAGGCACAGCACTTTGTGAACCTCCATGTGCAGATTTCGTGGCAAGCACAGTACTTTGTGAACCTCCATGCGCAGATTTCGTGGCAGGCGCAGCACTTTGTGAACCTCCATGCGCAGATTTCGTGGCAGGTGCAGCACTTTGTGAACCTCCATGCGCAGATTTCGTGGCAGGCACAGCACTTTGCGAACCTCCACGTGCAGATGTCGTGGCAGGCGCAGCACTTTGTGAACCTCCATGTGCAGATTTCGTGGCAGGCGCAGCACTTTGTGAACCTCCAGGTGCAGATTTCGTGGCAGGCACAGCACTTTGTGAACCTCCATGTGCAGATTTCGTGGCAGGCACAGCACTTTGTGAACCTCCATGTGCAGATTTCGTGGCAGGCACAGCATCTGGGGAGCTGGAAGCTGAGAACTGGCGACTTTGTAGTACAACTTTAGTACGTGGAGCAATCGCTGGCGACTTTCTAGTACAACTTTAGTACGCGGAGCAATCTGTAGAGCTGGAAGCTGAGAACTGGCGACTGTGTAGTACAACTGTAGTACGCGGAGCAATCTGTAGAGCTGGAAGCTGAGAACTGGCGACTTTCTAGTACAACTTTAGTACGCGGAGCAATCTGTAGAGCTGGAAGCTGAGAACTGGCGACTTTCAAGTACAACTTTGGTACGCGGAGCAATCTGTAGAGCTGGAAGCTGAGAACTGGCGACTTTGCAGTACAACTTTAGTACGCGGAGCAATCTGTGCAGCTAGAAGCTGAGAACTGGCGACTGTGTAGTACAACTGCAGTACGCGGAGCATCTGGGGAGCTGGAAGATGAGAACTGACTGGCGACTTTCTAGTACAACTTTAGCACGCAGAACAACCTGTGGAGCTGGAAGCTGAGAACTGGCCACTTTGTCGTACAAGTGTAGTACGCGGAGGAGTCATCTCTCGCTGCTGAGTCAGCTCCCGCTGCTGTGAGTCATCTCTCGCGACTGAGTCATCTCTCGCTGCTGAGTCAGCTCTCGCTATAGCCATCTCTCGCGGCTGAGTCATCTCTCGCGACTCAGTTATCTCTCGCTGCTGAGTCATCTCTCGCGGCGTGCAGGTTTGGCACAGTTCATACTGATAGTATTTGGTTGCATTTATGCAGGACAGGACATTCAACTGCTGGTCAATACACCACTCATCATACACCACTCAGCATACACCACTCATCATACACCACTCGTCATACACCACTCATCATACACCACTCAACATACACCACTCGTCATACACCCCTCGTCGTGGCAAAGATACAACCCAGTACGCTGTTGTGAGCTGCTGATCCTGCAGGGGGCACACACCTTACACACGTGGAATCCCGTGGGTCAAAAGTCCGGAGCACGTGCGTTTGACTGGAGGACGCGCATGTTGTAGAGAACGTGGACACTCCTATAGGTCAATTTCTTCTTATATGAAACTTCCGCCACCGGCTTGCCCGGGAACTACTTGGAACAAGTGCCACGCTACTAGTAACAAGTGCCTTACTAGTAGTAACAAGAAGCTAGTAGTAACTCTTAGAGATAGATCGCTTCTCTGTCACCCGAACTACAACTAGGAAGCTACTAGGAACAAGTGCCACGCTACTAGTAACAAGTGCTTTACTAGTAGTAACAAGAAGCTATGAGAAACAAGAACTCTAGAACTACACCAAGCTCTGGCCTCATAACCATGCTCTGTGCTGCACACAGTAGCCTTGGAGATGATCACTTTTTGGAGCAAGCAAACCCCAAGGAAGGCATTAGCTTGGAGGCCATGGCTATTAGGTTGGAGGCGATGATGGCTACTAGGTTGGAGGCCATCGCTATTAGGTTGGAGGCCATTGCTATCAGGTTGGAGGCCATTGCTATTAGGTTGGAAGCCATTGCTGTTAGGTTGAAAGCCACGCTATTAGGTTGGAACGCATCGCTAATAGGTTGGTGGCCAATGCTATTAGGTTGGAGGCCATTGCTTTTTGGTTGGAAGCCATTGCTGTTAGGTTGGACGCAATGATGGCTACTAGGTTGGAGGCCATCCCTATTAGGTTGGAGGCCATTGCTATTAGGTTGGAGGTCATTGCTATTAGGTTGGAGGCCATTGCTATTAGGTTGGAAGCCATTGCTGTTAGGTTGGAGGCCAGGCTATTAGGTTGGAACGCATCGCTAATAGGTTGGTGGCCATTGCAATTGGGTGGAGGCCATTGCTAGTAGGTTGGAGGCCATCGCTATTAGGTTGGAGGCGATGATGGCTACTAGGTTGGAGGCCATCGCTATTAGGTTGGAGGCCATCGCTATTGGGTTTGAGACCATCGCTATTAGGTTGGAGGCCATCACTATTAGGTTGGAGGCCATCGCTACTTGGTTGGAGGCCATCGCTATTTGGTTGGAGGCGATGATGGCTACTAGGGTGGAGGCCATCGCTATTAGGTTGGAGGCCATCGCTATTAGGTTGGAGGCCATCGCTATTTGGTTGGAGGCCATCGCTATTTGGTTGGAGGCCATCGCTACTTGGTTGGAGGCGATGATGGCTACTAGGTTGGAGGCCATCGCTATTAGGTTGGGCTGATGATGGCTAGGTTGGAGGCCATCCCTATTTGGTTGGAGGCCATCGCTATTTGGTTGGAGGCCATCGCTATTTGGTTGGAGGCCATTGCTATTAGGTTGGAGGCCATCGCTATTTGGTTGGAGGCAATCGCTATTAGGTTGGAGGCCATTGCTATTAGGTTGGAGGCAATCGCTATTAGGTTGGAGCCCATCCCTATTTGGTTGGAGGCCATCGCTATTTGGTTGGAGGCCATCGCTATTTGGTTGGAGGCCGTCGCTATTAGGTTGGAGGCCATCGCTATTTGGTTGGAGGCCGTCGCTATTAGATTGGAGGCGATGATGGCTACTAGGTTGGAGGCCATTGCTATTTGTTTGGAGGCCATCGCTATTAGGTTGGAGGCGATGATGGCTACTAGGTTGGAGG